TATAACCCTGTATACAGTATCTATATAACCCTGTATACAGTATCTATATAACCCTGTATAGAGTATCTATATAACCCTGTATACAGTATCTATATCAGCTAGGATACAGTATCTGTATAACCCTGTTGTATGTAGTCTCTCGTAATCCGACTGCAAAGTCAGGAAATGAGTGTTTGTAGATTAAACGATTTCCAGTATTTTTATGATTAGTCATATGAGCCATTTTGTTTATTAATTATTTCGTTCAATATTTTTCTGTTCATGATTTAACTGGACGAGGTGAAAATTAGAAAGAAAAGACACAATAATTCCAAGCAAAGCTACGAAAACACGTCGGGCGAATCTATTTAATGACGCAAAGCAAAGTGACGAAAACACGTCAGGCGAATCGATTTAATGACGCAAAGCAAAGTGGAAAAAAATAAGCGAACTGATAAAGCGAAGCAAACACGCCAAGTGAAGTGATCAAATTACAATTTCAGGGGGAAATGCCAAGCGAAGTGATCAAATTACAAGTTCAGGGGGAAACGCCAAGCGAAGAGATCAAATTACAAGTTCAGGGGGAATGTCGAGCGAAGTGAGCAAATAACTCAAAGCAAAAATATGCCAAGCAAATAGACTAACTACAATGTAGCATCAAGCGAATAGACTAACTTCAATGTAGCACCAAGCGAACAGACTAACTACAACGTACCACCAAGCGGACAGACTAACTACAATGTAGCACCCAGCAAATAGACTAACTACAATGTAGAAACAAGCGAATAGACTAACCACAATGTAGCACCAAGCGAATAGACTAACTACAATGTAGCACCAAGTGAATAGACTAACTACAATGTAGCACCAAGCGAATAGATTAACTACAATGTAGAAACAAGCGAATAGACTAACTACAATGTAGCACCAAGCGAATAGACTAACTACAATGTAGCACCAAGCGAATAGACTAACTACAATGTAGCACCAAGCGAATAGACTAACTACAATGTAGCACCAAGCGAATAGACTAACTACAATGTAGCACCAAGCGAATAGACTAACTACAATGTAGCACCAAGCGAATAGACTAACTACAATGTAGCACCAAGCGAATAGACTAACTACAATGTAGCACCAAGCGAATAGACTAACTACAATGTAGCACCAAGCGAATAGACTAACTACAATGTAGCACCAAGCGAATAGACTAACTACAATGTAGCACCAAGCGAATAGACTAACTACAATGTAGCACCAAGCGAATAGACTAACTACAATGTAGCACCAAGCGAATAGACTAACTACAATGTAGCACCAAGCGAATAGACTAACTACAATGTAGCACCAAGCGAATAGACTAACTACAATGTAGCACCAAGCGAATAGACTAACTACAATGTAGCACCAAGCGAATAGACTAACTACAATGTAGCACCAAGCGAATAGACTAACTACAATGTAGCACCAAGCGAATAGACTAACTACAATGTAGCACCAAGCGAATAGACTAACTACAATGTAGCACCAAGCGAATAGACTAACTACAATGTAGCACCAAGCGAATAGACTAACTACAATGTAGCACCAAGCGAATAGACTAACTACAATGTAGCACCAAGCGAATAGACTAACTACAATGTAGCACCAAGCGAATAGACTAACTACAATGTAGCACCAAGCGAATAGACTAACTACAATGTAGCACCAAGCGAATAGACTAACTACAATGTAGCACCAAG